AAATTTATCACTCGTTTGGGAAGTTGGGATGAGATTAAAATAGTTATAAAAAGATAAAATTAGTTTTCTAGTTTCAGATTAAAAAATGTCATATTTAAATTATAATTATTTCATTTTTTTCTTACAAAAATTAAAAAAGTTAAAAAGTCTATCTCAAACGAGACTTTTTAACTCCAAGCTAAAAAATCAAAAATCTAAAAGTCAACCCACATCCCAAACGAAACCTTATAATGAAAAATGGAATACGTAAAGGGTTTTGACTTCTCTCATATTAGAGATTCAATTCGAGATAAATGTAATTCAAATGGCATCCATTTTTTGAGATAAATATAATTCAAACATATAGTTACTAAAGTTCAATCATCTTAATTTTTTATATGAATATTCTTCTCAACGAATATTTAAAAGGAAAATATTAGAGATGTCAAAAGATTTATTAAAATTTCTATCAAATGTCTTACATGAGTATGGGTGTGGGTCTCATGCCGGTTTCATATCCATGTAAGACATTTGGTAAAAATTTTGATAAATCTTTTAGGGTCTCTAGCATTACTCTATTAAAAAATGAATAACTTGAATTAGAGAGATTAGACTTATAATGGACTTACCAAATCCAAATGCTATTTCAAGTTGGATCCCCAGCCTGAGTCAAACCCATACCTAAATTGTGTTAGAAAACTTACTGTAAATTCATGGAATGATACTTCCTTGCCTTCTGTAATGGAAATCCCTTGTTAAGGTTGTATACCATATGTGTTTTGTTACACACACACATATATGTTGTTTATGTTATACATTTTTGTGGCAAATGTCACTTAATTTTTTAGTATAATTACGATAATTTGTAATGTAAAAATAAAAAATGCATAACGTTATTACAAAAAAAATGTGTAACTTTATTTATAATTCCACAAATTATTATAACTCTATCCTAAAATTACATAATATTTGATTAAAAAAAATACATAATAGATACTAAAAAAATACATAACATGCTACATATGACATTCCCTATAAGGGGCATGTACTGAAAAGATTCCCATTTGATATGAATTCAGAGTACTAAAACTATAACAGACTTTATTTTCGGTCAATGTATCCATTTTTCTTGTTTGGATAAATTACACTGAAAATTTTTATTCAATACAATTTCTCCTTTCACATTTAAAAAATTACATATACTTTTTTGTCAAATAAAAATGATATATTTATCCCTTAACCTTTATACATATAAAATAATAAAATAATATTAATATTTTGTTTATATTTTATATTATTTCAAGAGAAATAACAATTGTCTTCTTTGATTTAACTCATACAAAAAATTAAATTTTGTTATTTTTCGTATTTTTTTATTTGTATTGAATTTTTTAATATTTTAAGCGATTTTTTTTTTCAAATTTTTTAGATATACCAAATCTAGATATACTTAAGAAACATAATATATATATATATATATTTCAATTCACTAAATACAAAAATAAAAAAATTCAGTAATACTATAATAAATATGAATGACGGTATTTGATAATACTGCAATAAATGTGGGTGAATAGACAAGAAAGAAAAATGACGATGAAAATAAAAATGAAAAATTCTCTTTGTATATAAAAATATATGCAAAAAATATCATAAAAATATTGTGATAGTGATATTGTTGTAAATATAAATCATGTTTGTGGATGTTTTGTTTTAAAATGAAAGGTTACCATCAAACTATATTATTGTGTTTGAAAATTTTACATAAAATTTGTATTTGTATATCATCACTCAATAAGAATATGTTTATGTAGAATTTAATGATGAAAAGTTGTAGAATGTAGTCATGATGATAGGAAAAAGAAATTGTAGGAAAAATGGCAACATGGTCATATAAAAAACTTTTAGGGCATGGCATCAACAATTCAGGGGGCAATTTGTAATGAGATTATAAATCTCAGAGAGGAGAATATAATTTTTCAAATGTGAGGGGAGAATTTATATTACACAGAAACCTCAGAAGATGTCAGTATAATTTACCCTTGTTTTTAGGATACTTACAACCTTTTTTTTTTTTAATCAGCAAAGAAAAATTCCATTAACAATATGAAATTAAAAGTACGGGAAGATGACATGCATCGAGAGATTCAGAAAGTAAAAAACACCCTTACTACTACTACTCACATTCATACAATCAACCCCTCGACTTCACAATTTTATTTTTTTTTTAAAAAAAAACAAAAATAGAAGACGAACAAAAAAAACAACCAAAAAATAAAATAAAATGAAGGAGTTAACTCAACAAATAAAATACATACATGAATCCCAACAAATTAACCCACAAAACCCGAGTTCAGATCCTCTGTCGTGCTTTTCTGTAGTGCTCCAAAACAACGTCGTCTGGGACCAAACACACACACGCACAAAAGGACGAAAAAAGAAGAAAGAAAGAAAGAAAACCTAAAAGCTGAGAAGGAAGGAAGAAAGGAACAGAGTCACCTCCAACCCCATTCTTCCTTCGGCGACCTTCATTTCTGGCATCTGCCACTCATTATCTTCCCTTTCCTCTCCCTTGTCGCCCCGGCTGCCACCAACACTACCTCCGGCGACTTCGATCACCATGGGAAGTGAAACAACACAGCTCTGACAATATCCTCTCTTTTCTTTCTACTACGTGTCTCTTTATCTACCCATTTTGCGATCTCCTTGCCCTTCTATATTTCTCTGAAACTTGGCCAATTTGGATTAAAACACCTGTTTTTTCAATTTTCCATTTGAGGGTTTTTATGGGTATGAAAACAAAGATGAAAATTTTATGGATATGAACAATATTCTCTGAAACTATGCCCTCTTATATTTCTTCTTCTTCTTTGTTCCTTCTTCTCGATTCCTTCCTTATTCTCTCCTAGCTTCTGGAATTTTTTTTTTTTGGAGGGCGGGGGAAGTTTGGTCCCAAACCCAATGTCCATCACTGTGTTCATTATCTTAAAACAATATTACAGTCCCTCTTTGATTTCTCCTTTGGCTTGTTCATCTCCATCAATAAGCAACAAAGCTAACACTACCCATCTCTTCAAATTTGAAATTTTTTTCCAAATTTTTTTTAACTACCAATGAGAGAGATTCATTCAAAATATTCAATACTACTCTGTTTCTCTACTTCTTCTCTACATCAGATCTGGTTCTTCCCCAAGAATTCAATGAAATCTGGGTTCTTCTCTTCATATGTTACGTAAGGCTTGGGAAAAAATGACAGAATCATACTTGAATTTCAGAAATCAAATAGTTTAAATACACAAAGGAAAGAAAAAGGAGAAGGAGGTTGATGATCCATTGCAATCGTAGTCGCAGTCGCCTCACCTCCTCGCTGCCATTGCGCCCTCAACCTCTGTCGTTTTGCCCTCGCCTCTCTCTGTTAGCCTCTCTTTCTTTTGACGGGTTAGGTTCAACAAATAAGAGGGAAAGGGAAAGGATGAGGAAAGGAAAAGAGGAGGGGGGAAATCTGACTAAAACAACGCCGTTTTGGTGACCACCGCAGGAAGCACCGTAAGGCACCACGACAAAAGATCTGAACTCGACAAAAGGAATCCGGATCCTCGGTGCCCTTTTCCTGCCGCATAACCCTGTAGGCCCCAAAACAACGTTGTTTTGGGGGTTTTTTGTTTTTTTTTTCTTTTCTTTTTCTCTTTCTCTTCCGTCTGTGTTTGGTCTTCTGCAGAACAGAAACCGGAGGGGAGGGGAGGGGAAGAAGAGAGAGAGGAAGGGAGAAGAAGAGGGGAGAAGAAGAAGGGTTCAGAGTGTCGGCGACGGCGAGGATTTGGTCGGCGGCTTCCAGTCTCGGCTCGGATTCTCTAGCTCGGGTCACGGCCGGCGAGGAGCTTCTCGGCGATGAGGAGCCACCGCTCTGCTGCTGCTGATGCCGCCGTGAGGGGAGGAGCTTCTCGGCTTCCATTTCTGTCACTCTCTCTCTCTGCTTTCACTCTCTCTCTCTTCTCCCTTTCTCTCTCCCTTCCCTCCCCTCCCTTCCCCTCTGGTTTCTGTTCTGCAGAAGACCAAACACAGACGGAAGAGAAAGAAGAAAAAGAAAAGAAAAAAAAAACAAAAAAAACAAAAAAAACCCCAAAAACGACGTCATTTTGAGGGGCTACAGGGTTGTGCGGCAGGAAAGGGACACCGAGGATCCGGATTCCGACAAAAGCACCCATACTGCAATTGCACTTTTCTTTTCCACACAACCCAAAGCAAAGCACCTAAACCCAAAAGCATGCGATCTTGATTTTTCTATTCTTTTCCGTAGCTTTTTCACCCATTGAACCATAGCATCAAAAACAGCCACACTCAAAGCATGTACTCTTGATATTTTATTCATTTCCAAAGCCTTTTCATCCACTGACTCGTCTCCCACGCCTCCTCCCTCCACCGTTCGCATCTACTATGACCGAAGAAACACCCATGACCGAAGCTACCTTGGTCGAAACCGGACACACCGATGGACGATCAAGTGTCCCTCCCTCAGCTGAACAAAACCCACTGCCATCTCCACATTCAAGTCCCACTGCTGACATGATAACCCTAACCCGTATCATACTTTAATTCTTTAATTATACATGTGATTATGTGTTTGATGTAAAATTGCATGTGTAATTGAGTGATTTATCTGAATTTGAATTTATATCTGTTGTTCGTAAAAAACCTATTGAAACTATAATTTTGAACTAAAAATTGAAAGCCTTAGAGGTACCAGAAATCAAAATTGAGTAAATATTTGCGATCAATGTAATTTTTAGAGCCTTATGAGAAGTTTGGTAAAATTTTGATTCAGAATGAATTAATTTGATTTAATTAAGATATGTAGATATATATATATATATATATATATATATATATATGTTAAACTTAAGTCTAGAAGGAGCTAGACTCAACATTGTGCTGGAAAGGAAAGAAGAGAGAAAAGAAAGATTTTGTGGTTGATGTAAAATTGCATGTGTAATTGAGTGATTTATCTGAATTTGAATTTATATCTGTTGTTCGTAAAAAATCTGTTGAAATTACAATTTTGAACTAAAAATTGAAAGTCTTAGAGGTATCAGAAATCAAAATTGAGTAAATATTTACAATCAATGTAATTTTTAAAGCCTTATGAGAAGTTTGGTAAAATTTTGATTCAGAATGAATTAATTTGATTTAATTAAGATATGTAGATATATATATATATATATATATGTTGAACTTAAGTCGACAAGGAGCTAGACTCAACATTGTGCTGGAAAGGAAAGAAGAGAGAAAAGAAAGGAAAGAGAAGTCAAAGAAAGAGAGTTCAAGCTTGGAGGAAAGGAAAACATAGGGCAAGTGGAGGAATTGAAGGAGATTTCAAGAAATTAAGCTTAAGGTATGTAGAAGTCAACTTGAACTCTTGGAATAACACTTCAATTGCTTGAATTCAAGGAAGAAAACAAAGATTAAACACCTCAGGGTGTTAGGGTTTCGAGTTGAAAGTTTAAGGGAGCTATAATCATGAAATTGAACTTTGATTATTTGGATTTACTTGATTTGAGGGTCAATTCCTTTGAATTGACTTGACTTGAGTTTGATTGTGAGAATTTGAGCCTTAATTCATAGAAATTGTATGTTTTGAACTCAAAAGTGTACATGTAAGATGTGTGTCCATTTGAATTGGAAAGAAAATGAAGGAGATCATGAATTCATGGAATTGGAGGTTTGATTATAGAAATTAAAGCAAGTTTTAATTCAATTGAGCTTGAATTACACTGTAATTATTTGGGTATATCATGTTTTTGAAGTACTTTTTTGTGAATTGAGGCTTGAAAATGAGTTTGGAAGCTTGAAAAATTAGATCAAATTTCAAACTGCTCAACTGAACCCAGAACCGCACGTGTGGCTGTGAGCCCTGCACATGCGGAATATAGGGCAAAGCAGAGCGTGACACACTATTTTAATTGCACATGCAGCCCACATGTCTGGCATCTTCCGCATGTGCGATGGGGAGCTTCCGCACATGCGGAAACAAGGAAAAATTCTATCAATTTCCATTGACTTATCGACCTTCTGAACATGTTTTTGAACTTATTTAGACCCTTTGGAGAATTAAAAGAGAATTAGAAACCTATTGAGAAATAAAGTGATTGAATAAAAAGAGAAGTGTACGAATTGTTTATTGAATTTGTATGTGTGCTATTTTGTGTAGGTCACCTGCACGAGGGATCATGGCATGGCCTAAATCATTGTGAGTAATAAATTTGTAAAGATATGTTCTTAATTATTATTTGAAACAATATGAATGTTATACATGTATACGTATTTCTGAAATTGTATTGTGATATAAATGAGTTTCGATTAATGCTTTAAGAATGCTATGGAATGCTAATACTAATGGTATAGAATGAATAATAATGAATGTTATATATGGGTTTGAGGCCATTCTGTTATATGTGGCCCAAGACCGTTCTGTTATATGTGGGCTCGAGGTCGTTCTGCAATATATTGGGCCCGAGGCCATTCTATAATGTGATAGGCCCGAGGCCATTTTATATAATTGGACCTGAGACTGATTGACAAATTCAAATATGAAGAAAGCCATCGTTCGTTTAAATTCCAAGAAAAATTATCATTTTACGTTAAATGCTTTCTATGGCTTTAACTCAATTATTATTCCTTTACATTGTTATTACTCGTTGAGTTTCGCTCACCCCCTTATTGTATATGAATGTAAGTGATCAGCATGGAGTTCTACCTTAGAGTCAGCCTTAGGAAATCGCTTATGAGGACCTATTAGGTCAAGCCTCCAAGATAGCTTTTGTCTTTTTGGTATTATGTTTTATATTGAGTCTTTTGTTTGGTTTTGTTAAATGGGTTTATGAACATGTAAACTTAATATTGTTGACTCCTATGTATATAAGTGATGTTTGGAAATCTATGTTGGAGTTTATCCTGATCATGATCATTTAAGCACTGCTCAATGGACGTTATTTATAATATTTGCTTCCGCTTAAAGACCCATTATTAAAAGCTTTTGTTTACTATATGAAGGCGTTGGTAATCGTATGATTATTGACTGGTTATGAACCAAACTTTTAGGAATAAATTTGGGTTATGAGAGCTGAAACTCCTATGTTGTCAACCCAAACACCGAACAACTGTCTAGATGCATCCATACATCTGGATGGAGTGCACCCATCATACTCTCACTCGCAAAGGAAGTCCTAATCTGGAGGCCATTGGAGCCGATCGATTTGCATTATCTAATCTGATTTGATCATGAGATTTTTCTTGATATTCATGCATTTTATATGATGACAGTGCGCTCAAGTTTCGTATGAACATTGACTATAAATCTTGTGATATTATTGAATCGTTGCTACATTGCCTCTTCTACTATCTAGTTTTGCCGAAAATTTAATATTTGATTTTTTTTTTATTTTTATATATATGAATATTTTGTTTCTTTCCATTAAAATTAATAAAATCATTTTCATATTGCTATATTTTTACCAATTTTGGGATATTGGAGTAAATTAAATAAGTAAATAAATTTTTTTGATCTTGCATAACTAATTTAGAGAAAACTTATCCCTTCATTCTTAATTAGTTTATTACCTCTATCATGTTTTCTTCACCATTATAGCAAAAAACTTGAACAAAATTATAAATCAGTCCAGTATTTCCATGTCTAACCGATTCATCCTCGAATAACATCACACCTGGCTTTAATCCATGCATGCGGTGGTTGACTGACCATGTTCACTCATCAAAACGTCAAAATCAATTTTTGGACAAAAAATAATTATTAAATTTTAAATACAAAAGGATGATTCAAGTTGTGATAATAAAATATTTTTGTTCAAAAATATTTTACTTAATTATTTTCCATCCAAATAATAAAAATGATTAAATTATTATTATTATTTTTTTAATATTTATTTAAAAACAAATTAGCTTAAAGAGAAAAGACAACTATGCCAATGAAGTTATCATCATCAAGTGGTGCAACGCTACAACTTGTTTTCATTTTTAGCTTTCCATTGTAAAATTTTTTAAGTAAGAGATTGACAGCTACATTTTTTAGATCATGTTGTTTTTGATTTAGATAGTTAAAATTTGAAAATTTTTTATATTTAATTTCTTTTATAATAATTCTGTTCAGTTTGTAACTTCACATACATAAAATGTTTGTTGATCAAATTTTTGCAAAATATTGAAAATAAAAATTGATATTTTTATATAATAATTTTGCATAACATAATTAACAAAAAAAAAAAAAAACATTACAAAGTAAAAATAAAGAAATTTATGTGTTATTGTCATTTTGGTCTGATTTGGTGAAAAACCATCTAGAAATTCAAGCTGAAACCAACTAACATATTTATTTGCCATGCACAATATGTTTCTCAATCTCGACTTACAAGCCATTTTTTCTAATTTTAAATTTGAAATATAGAAATAGTTCCTACCAAGGCAATTAAAAAATAAAGTAATAGTAATAAAATAAAATAAAATAATAATTCTTATCTAATTTTTTTTATCACTAGACACAAATTAGTAAGTTTCACCTATATTTAGCCTCCGTTTGGGAAGTGAGTTGGCTTTTTGGCTTTTTGACTTTTTTGGCTATTTTGGCCTGAGCTAAAAAGCTTGTTTGGAAATGGCTTTTTGGCTTTTTGGCTTTTTGGCTTTTTTGATTTTTTTTGTGAGAGAAGAGCGTAATGATTATGGGTTGGATGTGATATTTTGTTTTTTGTGACTAAAATAGCCTATTTTGTCTTTTGTAGTTAAAATAGCCAAAAAAACCCACTTTAGTTCTTTCCAAATGGACCCTAAATATGGGTGTTATTTTTATGTCTAAGTCTAATGATAGAAGGGAATAAGAGCATCTCCAACCGTGAATCAAAAATTTCACCAATTCTGAGTTCAAAAATGGCCATTTCCTGAATTTGATACTTCAGGCTCCAACGGTTCACCTTCACCAAATCTATCCCGGGACAACCGGGTGGTCGACCGGCCGGTTGACCGGTTAGGCCAAAAAATTTTTTTTTTTTTTTTTTTTTTTTTTTGCGAATTGTCTGAACTTTTTTTGAACTTTCTGAACTTTTTTCGGGACAACCGGGGTGGTCGACCGGCCGGTTGACCGGTTAGGCAAAAAAATTTTTTTTTTTTTTTTTTTAACGGTTTGAACTATTTTTTCTGAACTGTTTGAATCTTTTACTGGTTGACCGGTTGGTCAACCGGCCGGGCAACCGGTTGGTCGACCGGTGTAGCATTTTCAACGGTCAGTAACAGTGATTTGGTAAAATCTGTGTCTTGATCTCAGTTTGATGTCTTGTTTGCTGAATTCTCATTTTGGTATGACTTTGGTGCAACCGTTGGAGCGTGAAAAAGTAAGTTTTTCATCAAAATTTAAATCTGATGCTGGGTTTGGTTCAGCGTTGGAGATGGTCTAACTTCACTCCAATTGATGAACCAAACTAGAGACGTGTTGTCAGCGTTGGGAGGCCCTTCTTGGGTCCACCTCGGCGATCCGAAGTGTTCTCTTGTAGGATCGGTTGAGTAGAGATTGCCCAAGCAAAAAATTAGGTTTGGATTGGATCACATTTGTTTTTCAAACAATAGTAATTGTATTTTTAAAATCATAATGCTCATCTTCATGTGATAAATGTGACTTGAGCATGTCTTTACTGTTGTCTAATCAAATTAATTTAACAATAGACATTTTACTTGTAAAATCATATTTGATGTCTATTTTTGTATGATAAATGTGATCCAATTATGAAGTTATCGTTTAATTAATCTAATTTTTTATAATGATGATTTGCCCAACCAATTTCACAAAATAAACAATTTAAATCACTAAGATGAACTCAGGATGTGGCCCACTAAATCAAACAACGCCGAGCCCACCATAACCCATAAAAAAATCTATTTATGTATATAGCTTTACTAGAAAAACCAAAGCATTGGCAAAATATCTAGCAAATTAGAATTTCATATTATGCAAGGAATTCGGTTTTGTGTGTGAACAAAATGAGTAAACCTAGTAATGCTAGAGACTTACATTTGAGATCTCTAAATACATTCTTAATGATGTGGTAAGGAAGTAAAATTTCACATAATTAAATATGTAATAAATCAAAAATTAACATTTATCATTCCACATCATTATAAATAAAATTATGAAAAATTTATTAGGGCCTCAAACATTTTCAATTAGATATGGGATTCATTATTAGATTTGGGATTCATACTTTGTAATTTATTTAAATAGTGGGATTTTTCATTTTAAGGATAAACTATCAATAGGTTCTAATAGTTGGAACTGAATTCTCATAAAGTCCTATTTAGAATAAGTCATAGTAAAATTGTCGCTAAAATAATTTTCTGTGACGAATTTTTTACATTTGTCGTTAAAAATTGACAATTAATGATTTTTTTTGTCATGATTTTATAATTTGTCTTTAAAACTTATAATTAGTGACATTTTTCTGTGACAAATTTTTCAAGCTGTTGCTGAAAGTTGAAAATTAGTGACCTTTTTTGTGATAATTTTTTTAGGGTAAATTACATTGACACCCCTTGAAGTTTGGTCCAATTCTATCCACCCCTGACGTTTTAGAAATTATATTCTCACCCCTGTAGGTGATAGTCTCATTTCACAAACCCTCCTACTTACATAAAAACTAACTCATAGTAGAAAAACAGAGGAAATTACATTTAAAAAAAAAAAGTAAAGGAAAGAGGAAAAAAGAAAGAGAAAGTAAAATAAAGCAAAGCAAAAAAAGAGAGAACGCATGAGTTCAATGTCTTCATTCTATCTAAATAATTATAATAACAAGGGGGTTAGTATAATTTTTCAAATGTCAGAGAGTGATATGTATTAAACTCAAACCTCAGGGAGTGTAAGTGTAATTTACCCATTTTTTTAAATTACCGCTAAAACTTATAATTAGTGACATTTTTTGTGATAATTTTTAAATTATCACTGAAAATTAAAAATTAGTGACTTTTTTAATGGCGTTTAATAAAAAATATCATTAACTCTCATAGGACCTATTAAATAATAAATTCATCTATTAAAATCTACACGTAAGTCTTCCTTATTTTAAATGGATCCATTACCTTTTAAATTATATTTGTTACACTATATGACACTGAATAAACAATTTTTTTTAGAATTTGATATTCTGCAAGATTTTGTGTAGAAATAAAATATAATTTGTGATTAGATACAATTCGTATGACATATTACATTATTTGAACCAATTACAATTTTTTTTTTTTTTTTGTTTACATACGTGAACAAAACAATCACTCTTTGGTTTTGTTTTGGAGTTCTTAAAACTAATTTTTGAGTTTTT